GGGAGACGCTAGCTGGAAGGAGGCACCTAAGACACGAATAGGTCGAAGCTAACCGACACGGTCAGTAGAAGGGTATTCTGCTGGAAGCTCAAATTTATGCTTCCAAATCACTGTGATGCTTTAATTCGCTGATCAACTACTGAATGTAGACGAAGGTATTCTCTAGCTCACAGTGTGCTCAGTGCTAGTGTAGGAGAATGCCTTACCTCTCTTTGAGTTGCATCTGATCAAAGGCCATAGCGAAACCTCATGGCGGATGAGCAGGCGAAAAAAAGCTCACTCTAGTCGACTTTCGCCAGAAAGAAGAGAATGGGAATACCTTTGACTGCATGCGCACTACTTTTAAATAGAAAACAAAAACCAGAACCAGAACCAGAAATGCAAAGTGTTTTTGCCGAGTTTGAAACGGATTGCAATGGTACTTCTTGAGCTCACGAAGATTCTCAGGATCCTCACGGTCCCTACTGCCTAAAGACCGATTCGATGGAATCATTTTCACACTTACTCTTAAGCTGGCCAGCTTCAATGAATTTGCGCTCTATTAGCGTTGGATGGCACTCTCTAACTAGCTCTAGTAAATTCGCCGGGGCCGTTCCCACCACAATCGGGTGACCTAGATTTATGTTTACCAGGTCAAGGACTTTCCCTGCAGCAGAAAAACAAATTTTCTATGCTGCAACAATAACAACAGCTCCCGGTACCCGACATAACTTTGCAATTACCGTTCGTCGTGATACCACAAAATACGGATCAAGTGTAGTCCTGTCTGGGGTACGCTCAACCTTACGTGACCTAAAACTAGCCGACTAGTCATTAACGTTCGTTTGAAGATATATCCGACTGTAATATAAGTATATATGGATATGTTATATATTTTAGCGCACTTGACAACACATAAATTACAAAACCCAAAAAGAAAAAAAAAAGATTATTTGTTCTATCTTCGCAGTGGGTTTGAAACAAATTCGTTCGTCTTCTTCGTACTTTCGAATGAGCTGCCATTCACTTTTAATGACATAATTGGCGCGCGTCATTTTACTGCGGCGGTGGATGGGTGCAACGTTGACTTGCTGATTGATGTTAATTTGAAATGATTTGCATAAGTAATAAAATACATATTCCTTGAATAAATTGAACTAGATTAACGTTGCACTTGAATTTTATCCTTCACTTTGAAGGTGTAGAAGATTATTAGTCTCGCTGATTCCCACTGTTGCTTAACGCAGCCAAAAGCATAGATATGTATGTACATAGCTACAGCGGTAAAAGTAAATTTTTTTCCAAATGCATGAATTACCAATAACGTTTTGTTTTAAAAAACACTTTTTCCCGAAATTTTGAATTTCCGTATTTCTCAAGATTTTCTTTCGCAATTTGAAAGCAAATCGTTATCCCGTTTCTTTGCCAAATTTTATATTTTGCATTTCAGTAAAAGAAGAAATATATATGTATATTTTGCAATAATTTAAATTGCAATCCACCCGCGACATACATACAGAATTATGCATTTATGTCCGTGAATACCAGAAGACCTAAGGCAACAAACGACTTGCCTTGCCGATCCGCAACTGAGCTAAGCGAGTGGCATTGCCAAGCAACCACAGATGACCACCCCCACCCACAGAAGGAAAATGTGCGCACACACACAGACAATTGTTTGTCAAATAGGTTTTTCAAAAAATCACTACATTTCTCTCGAGCTAGTAGCGCATCCCCATTCATTGATGATCGTACATATACATATATATATATATATGTTTGTGCATATGCAAGTATATAAATACATACCCTGCAGGGAAAATCTCTAGCTCTGAATCGGTTTTGCTTCTAGCAAATTTCGAACCACTTCTAATTCGCGATAAATCTCTTTTGCATGCAAACAACTGAATGTTGACAATTTTCGTTTGGTGTTTCCAAACTATGAAAAATCATCTGTGAAGTGCAAACAAACAAAAATTTATTTATAGTAAACAAGTGATGTAGTTTCGAACCAGTTTTAAATTCGTCATCTTAGATATAGATTTCTATTTAGAAGTTTTTGTATTCTTTCGCACTTATCGCATTTTCTGTGACTATTTTGGTCTTAGAAAATCTGTTTATATCAGAATAGATATAGTTAGAAATAATAATAATAATAGTTTGCTCGTTTAGAAAACGATGCACCTTTTACTGATTTTTCTGCTCGCATCAAAAAATGTTTTTATAAAAAAAGTGTTTTAAAAAAAGTTTTAAGTTTTAAAAAGTAAAAAATAAATAAAATTGTTTTAAAAAAGTATCACATTTCGCTGCTTTGGACTGGACGAGATCTAATTAGCAACATATCAAAGTGATTCACTAGCTCGGGTTTTCTCTGTAGGGTAAATGCTATGCTATGCAAAGGACGCCACCTTAGTGACGTATAATTAAAAAAAAAAAATTCTTGTATGTGCATCAGCAGAAAACAATTACCTTTATTTGTGTGCATTCAATTGCTGCTATTTGTATGTCTGTAATGTATGTACCTATGCATTTACTATATGTTTGTGCATTGTGTTTGTCGCGTGCATATTTACGTTCACCTATTTATTTATTTAACTGCACATGTGCGTCGCATGGTCTCGGCAGCCAACGAATTTCGATCGCCGCCTGTCCGTGTTAGGTGCCATGGACGTCATTGTTAATGAACTTGAAAATTGTGCATTGCGGTAGAAAAGTGTTTCACTCTCAATTCAAATACAAATACAAAAATATCTGTGCATTCAGTTGTAGTTAAATAAATATTTAGCCATGCAGTAGAATTACGATAGCTCGTAGGCTCGATAAGTCCCCGATCGCTCTAAGTGATAAAGAAGTTCAGTCCGTTTCAATAATTTCTCTTGCACCAATAATCTTTTAAGTCGAAAATTATTACAATTTGAAAAACCGCAGTCAGATTCATTCTGTTCAGTAACAACAACAACCAAAAAAAAGGATAGTACATTGGATTGCGGGCTATCTAGATTCCACTGTTGTAACTACCTTGCAAACAATTTTTTCAGAGTGTTCTGAATTGTAGAGAAATTTTAAAGAATTCGTAAAGATTAACCCTTTGTTATGCATTTGCCATATTTGATAGAATTGAATATCTTTGAAATGAAAGTTTTTGTAAATATGAAAATATTTAAAATCTTATTAGAATCAGCTTCATTTTAGTTATTGCATTTTCGTTTTAATGTAGATGTGGAAATGCATACTTACACAAACGCACTCATTCATAAAACCGGTTTGACAATTTTCTTGCTTTTACTATCCCAATGTTTTTGAGAATTTATTTTTGTATCCAAATACTTAATTCTTAAGTATATTAGACATTAAAAAAAAGATTGATTCTTCTAAATTTACATCAGAACTTAACTTCAATAATTTAACTATTAAATTTTTGCAATTTAAAATTTCCTTTCCATTAAATTTATTAAAAATTACTCTCAATTTCTTAATGTCAACAAGGAATTCTGATTTAGGTTTTATCAGACCACCATTTGAAATTTGGTCTATCCATGTTATGGAGTGGGACGTTTTCTTTTCATATACGGTATGATAAATCCTGCACCTGGGAACAAACGCATCCGCTCAGGAATACTCGGCTGCAATGGGCAACAAATAAAGTCACGCGCGCACGTGAAGGGTTTCCTAATCGCAGCAATTTGCCCACCGTTGGCGCTTCAGTTGACAATTCGTTGACAGTCGCACAGCTCACAATTGAAAATTTAAAAAAAAAAATCAAATTTTGAATAGTATAGGGCTAAGAGTGACATTTCAGTCACAGTTCAAACGAGGGAAATGGCGAAATCACTTCTACCTAGCCATGGGTAACACAGTGCGGCGCCGCGCCATTGCACTGATACCGAGAGCTGAGTTACTGGCGCCGATACCGATTGTCACAACTCAGTGACGCAATGGCGCCAGCAACACCGGAACACTGACAACACCGGGCGGCGCAAAGAACCAGCAAAAAAAAGAACACACATAGGCGAAGTTTCACTTGTAAAATGTGCAGCACAAGGCGAATTTTTACAAGGTGGTGTTGCTAAAATTACCCGCGGTCCTTCTGAATGTGAAAATTATGTGTTTGTTGTATTTTTGGGTTTTGAACTTGAGTATACTTGAGTTCTTTTTGCCCAACCGATACCACCTTTTATTAATTCACCTTAGTTCAACACCGGAACTCTGACAACACCAGGTGTCGCAAAGAACCAGCAAAGAACACCCGAAATAGAAGGGATGTGTAGCACAAGGCGAATTTATACAAGGTGGTGTTGCTAGAATTCGTCGCGGTCCTTCTGAATGTGAAAATGATGGGTTTGTTGTAGTTTTGGGTTTTGAACTTGGGTATACTTGACTTTTTTCTCAACCGATATAACCTTGTATTAATTCCCTTTGGTGCAGCGTGCAGCATTAAAGGAAATGAGCTTTAGCCTGAAGAAGCGTCGTTGCGCCAACACACTGTGCTGATTCCGACAGTGGCGCTGGAGTTAGTGTGTCAGCGCCAAAAAAATTGCGCCGTTACCCAGGCCTACTTCTACCTTGTTTTGTCTTGGATCAGGTTAAGGTGTGGCAGCATTAGACAAAGAGAGATGAGAAATTCCAACCGTTCAGCGTCCACAAAACCCACACACAAATATGGAGAGTTGCGGCTTCCTGAGCAGAAAAAGATCCCTGCTGGAATTTCGTTGAGCTGGTACGAGCCCCACCTTTCCCAGATGATGCTTTTCATGCTGCGTTGTAAGGATCGCAAGAGTTAATGGGGCGGGAAAGGGACATCCAAACATTTCTCCTTTCATATATTCTCCAACTCGTAAGTTATGGGCTCAAGGATTACAAGCGTTTTGCCCCCTATTCCCAACCCCTAAAAATGTTGATGTAATTTAAGACAGAGCTCTGTAAGGAAAATAAAATCGAATGGACACTCGCCATTTATATTCAAGGGCCAGGTATTCTTGGAACTAATTTCAAAAGATATTCCTATGCAAATGCACATTTACGACTTTTCTGTGACTTTTTATTGTAATTATTTGTAACACAAGACCAACTAGCCAAACAAACTTATTAACTAACAACTATATACATACATACTTAGGTGCGTACTTCCTAAGTGCACTTATCTTTAGGAATTTCCTACTTCTAAGAAATACATACATATATGCACACATAGTAACCTGGTTTAACTCATTTCTTTTTCATTTTTTCCCTCTGTAAAATCATCGTTGCACCCCGAATAGCCATTCCAATTATAACTGAGTTGGGGTTTCCAGACACGGGAGTCGGCAGAACACTGGCATCTATTATTCGCAAGTTTTCGACGCCATGTACCCTTAAATATTTGTGCGTTTTAATGAAATATTTTGCAGAAAAAAACATACGAAGCGGTGAATGAGACTTACTTGAACTCTGAATTGACAACGCTGTTGTTTGCGGCTGTGCCCATGACGCATGTACCGCCCGGATGGTGCGAGCCCAGTCCCACGTATCTGTTAAAAAGCAAACCAAACAACTATGTATTGGAATAACTTTTAAAACGGGTCCATTTTAACGCAATGCATACCTCATCACGCATTCCAAGTATCGATCGCTGGGCATATTTTCAACAAAATCCTTCTCGGTAGGCCCATATTTCTTGCACTCCTCAATTTTCGGCCAATGTATGTGTGGACGTAGCGAAGCAAAGCTTTCCGATGTGACGACCTCTACTGCGGCGCGTATCGCGCGTATCGTACAGTCGACATCGCCAGCTTCTCGCAAATAGTTCGGATCGATCATCGGTTTCCAACGAGTGTTGGGTATGCCAATGGTGACGGTGCCACGAGACTTCGGTTGCAGACATGTTGATATCAGCACGAAGCCCTCTTGTGAAGTGTTCTGATAGCGCGGGAAGAGAGCGCGAAAATACTCCTGTTTGAAATTGGAAATTGACATTAGAGCGCGTTCATCGACTGCGCCGACGCCGAAGAAAGTCAAGCCGAAGCTATCTTCGTAGCTGGAATCTATGTGGCCCAAAACACCAAAGTTACCCAAATGACCATAGCCATTAATCAGATAATTCAAAAGCTGGATGGGATTTAGCAGCGAGCGCTGATTCAATGTTGGACCCACAGTGTCAATGGAGACAAAGAGTGGCAAATTGAGATGGTCATGTAGATTTTCGCCCACCAATGGCAGTTGCAGCTGCTGTGGTATGTCTAACTCTTCGAACAGTGGTGCATCGCCAATGCCAGAAGCCAGCAATATTTGTGGTGTTTGGTAGGCGCCTGCGCAAAGTATCACCTCGCAGCGTACGTCCACACTGAAAACGTACTCCTCATGATTTTTTGTATCCATTACGCCCACTAAAATAGACTGTACCTCACTATTTTCATCGCCGATATACTCGAGGTTCAATCGCTTCAAGTAGGCTTCGGTGAGCGTATGGAGGTTGCGGCGCTTCAGAGCAGGCTGCAGGAACTGATGGTAAGCATTGTGTCGCAGGCCATTTTTTATGGTATACCGGGCACGACGAAAGCGCCAGCTCTTTTTCGAAAACTCGGTTTTTGCTGTGTGCAGCGCCTCTGTTATTTTCGAGTAATCGCGAGGTATTTCCAGCAACGAATGGGTTTGTGTGCGAACTGCGGTGAGAAATGGCCGTATGTCATTCCAGCGCCAATCGGAGAGATTATGTCGCTTCGCCCAGTTCTCAAAATCGCGCGGCTCTCCATCGAAATGCAACATGTAATTCAACTGAGCGGAGCCGCCAAGACCTTTACCTCGAGGCAAGTACTGACGCTGCAAATAAGAGGCATGCGTTTGAATAATAAAACAAGTTCATAGTAGGAAAAAATACTAAGTATTTTTAAAACAAGCTTTCTAAATATAAACGAAATTGGACCATAAATATTTCTAAACTTCCGAGGAAGACGGTCAACTGATCAATTCATATTCCTGCATACGCGAGTCAGATATGCAAACAACTGATATTCCCAGGTTTGCAATTTTGTACGATATGAATCTCGTAGGACATCGGCCGTGTTAAAATTCATCAAAGAATTCAGTCACTGCTGCTATTACAGACTCATTTCCTAGCTATTACCTTTTACTACTGGGATGCGAAAGCCTTTTTGGTATATCATCAGATCTGTACCGTTAGCTCGATTTTAAAAAATAAGGTATCAAATTAAAAGCCTTGGCCTATAGATGTGGAATAGCTTCTTATTTTTTCAAAAAGAGTTGCCACCTTCTATCGAATTAAATTCAAATTATTTTTAAGTTAAATCAATGAATATCGATCGAAATGGTTTTGAAAAGGCTTTATCTCTTAATTACGCATGTGTAGGAGGGTTGCCACCTGTTTCAAAAAGCAAGTTCGACTTAAATAAAAGCATAAAATTGAAATGCATATCCTGATATAGATGTTAGATGAAAGAGGTTGTGGTTTGAAAATATTTTGAATAGGGTTGCCACCTGTTTCAAAATTAGAATTTAAATAAAGTATGCATGAGTTAAATTAAATATAAAAATATTACGTGAAACGAAGGTGGTAAGATATCCTTAGTTTGAATATTTAGATTATCAAAGAGGGTTGCCACCTGGTAAAAATGTAAACTCAAATTATTTAAAAACTTAAAGGAAATGTTAAAAATATGGGTACCAAATGAAATGGGTTTGAAAAGGCTTTATTTCTGAACTGTATTTAGGAGGGTTGCCACGTATTGAAAAGATCAAATTTAACTTAATTCATCGGGCACATGAAGCCCGATATCAGACGCTAGAAATTTGTTTATTTCCTAACTATATGTGGAAGAGCTGCCAGCTGTTTTAGAAGCTTACCTAACTTATGCACCAATCCGAGACGAAGATAATGCGAAGACAAGCATGAACTCGAAAAAGAATACTAATACGGGTCCTAGGCTAATATAAAAAGTAATACAAATCTCTGCAGTATGAAAGGAAATAAAAATGAATCGAAATAATAATACACGTCGTGGCATACATATATCTATTTATAAGCTATTGCTAAATAATAATATTTTGCAATTCATATTGAGTTATTAAATTCAGTTCAATACAATCAAAACGAATATTTCATGTACTGTTTTTAACTTGAATGTGACTCAGACACATCCTGCAGGTCAAGACGAAGGCGCTGGACTGATACTTTTTGTTTTTTACTGAACTAGCCAATGCCCGCTGGCTTCGCAGTGCCAATGCAAAAATAGCTTTAATAAAAAGAAAAAAGAGTTTCTAAAGTAAAACTTCTTAGTTAGTTAGTTGAAATTACTAAAGAGCAGATCCCTCCTTGCAGCATGGAATACTAGTCCCTTGGGGGACCCTCCGTTTTATTCCACGCGGATTGATGTGGTCGAATATTTCCTTGCTAATATTCGCCACTTTTACAATTCGTCTTAATATTCGGGCGTGAAGGACGTATGTATGCATGTATATAAATACATTTTTTCTACAAACCTGGGCTTTCTCGACCAGAGATTCAGCAATGGAATCTGCATTGTCTATTTGTCATCTGAAAAGTAAATTCGTGTAACATAAAGTAGACCAGACATACGGGGTTTTTATATATTTCGTCTGCAGCGCCATCTATTGGAACCATTTAAAAAAAGGTAAAATAAGCGATTGGGCTTTATAGGAGGTCTACTGAAGAAAGACAGAGTTTTGTGATCTCAAAGTCGTCGCCTGGGTAAAAGACTGTCGTAAGCGCAATTTTGACGATTTTTAGTTTTAGA